GAGGGGAGGGGGGCCTTCCTCTCCGCCCCCCCTCCCCAGCCCCTGCCTTCCCCCACCCCCAGCCTCACTCACCAGGCTCTCATCTTTGTACTTGATGGACTGGGTGTGGTGCCGCATGAAGCCCAGGGTGAGGAACAGGTAGATGACGGCGAAGACGGTGTGCAGCCAGAGCAGGTCATTGCTGCGGGGACACCGCCTGCGATCAGCGGGGGGACCCCAGCCCAGGCGGGGGCGCAAGGGCTGGGCTGGGCTGCCTTAGGGCCCTGAGCTGAGGGACAGCGACTTCATCACAAGAGGCGGGGCGGCCAGCCCCCTTAGAGAGAGCCCCTCCCTGGCAAATGAGCTCTCCTGGTTTCCTACAGCCCCTCAAAACAGCAGCTGCTAATGGGGTGTCCATGCCCAGAGCCCAGCCACACGCTGGCTGCAAGGGGGCTTCGGGGCCTCAGTCCGCCCACGTGGGGCCACCTCTCGCTGACACTGGGTTCCAGAATCCGCCCGCTCCTTGGCCTCGCCCATTGGCACCCTCAGACCCGTCCCCCCAACTCACTTGGTCTGGAGGTTTGCTATCGTCGTCCGCCCGAAACTGTATGGGTCCTTCTCTGCAGAGAAGCACGGGGACTTAGCGCCCGGGTCCCCCGGGGGCAGGAGGGGCACCGCCAGCCACGGGGAGTGCGGCTCGGAGGAAGGGGCCGGGGAACAGACGCCGTCCACTCTTCCCAGAGTCACCCCGACAAGGCCCTGCTTTAGCCCCAGATGCCCCCCCCCGGCAACTTCTCACCCCGTCTTGGGGGTTGAGTCACAACCTGCCTTCGCCTGGCTTTGAGATTTTGCTGGCATTTCTCGGGAAATCGGGACCGACCCTTAGCTGTTCCCAGATCCAGGGCTGAGAATCCCGGGATGTAAGGAGTGGGGTCGTGGTGGCATTTGGGGAGCGAGCTTCCGGTGGACGCTTGGAAATAGAATTCCGGGCTCGGATTCTGACTCTGAGTGGGGCTGGGAGATGTCAAACACCCTTGGGAGCCCCCGATTCTGTAAATCTTGGGGGTTTCCCCCCCTCTTCCTACTTAGAAACAGAAGTGGATATTAGGCTTAGGGTGGATTCTTCTCTGTATTTTTAATCAGACGGAAAAGTCCAGAAAGCCACCCTGAGACCTTCTCACATCTGAGCGAGAGCATGAGCCCCCAACAGTGAGCCCCTTTCCTGAGGCCTACAGCCCCACCTGGGCCCCACGCAGATGAAGACAACAGCCCCACTGGCGTGGCTCAGGCGTCGAGCGTCGACCTAGGAACCAGGAGGTCACGGTTGGTTCAATCCCCGGTCAGGGCACCGGGGCCTGCT